CAGATGAATGAATCAGCTTCTCATGTAATTAATCAAATTAATTCTTCACTGGGAGTAGGCAACAATGTGCTATTTAGCTAGATATAAATAGCAGCATTATGAGTTTCATTTGGCTCTTACTCACTGTTGCATATTAAAAGGTGTACATTAATGATTCTCACAATCTGTTTTTATTTACATACTCAAAAGACAATAGCTAAGAAATTAAAACAAAATATGTTTCCCTTTCTATTGAAAACTGTTAGGGAAATGAAGGGAAAACATCAGTAGTGATTGCTGATCAGTTCCTAATAAAGCAACACTGAAAGAAGTTAAGTTTGACATATCTTTGTGTGTTTTGCCATTGATTTAATGGAGTCAGGATTTTACACAAAGAGGAGCCAGGCCTGTATAAAAGGAATTTTTTTGTCCACCTGACAGCGTTCTGTGTTATACATACAAATGATCCTTACTTTGTGTATATGTAGGTGCCATAAAATACCAGTCCTATGAAAGCAACATTAAATTCGTTCCATGTGATCAAAGCAATGAGTATCAGTTATCCCAGTTATAGCAAAATATACAGGGAAACACAATTTCACATTTTATTTCAGGTAAATTTTCAGCAACCAAATGTTGGCATTATTTGCCTTCACCAACATGATCTAACTTTGTAGCTACTCCTGATTCGAGAAGGGGTGTTGGCGTAGAGGTCAGGAAAGGACTCTGGAGTTCCCTTCCTACCTAAATTATATAGTGATTCTGTTTACAAATCTTCATCTCCACTACCATTACACAAAAACATAACAGCCCACAAATATGTAAATCATCTGTTCCATTTCTCTTATTTCTGTTAGAATTAATGCATCTTTAATTATAATCTTGTTCTTTACAAGCATCTTCACATTCCATATGTACTCACTAACAGGTGTTTTGATTCGGGTGCTATTAGGCAATGACTCACTGTGTGTTGCCTGATGATGACGTTTAAAATGGGGGAATACTCCTTGAGGATCTCTGGAACTGGAAATATCTTTGTTGAGCTCTTCCCCTTCCAATTTGGACTAGTCCATTCTGCCAAGTGATGATGCAACTTGAAGCGTTAGATAACAATGTGGAAAACAATATGCCAAAGGAGGTAATTCCTTTTTTATTGTACCTGTTTTGACATTCCATCCTAGCAATTATTTTTAATGTTTGGATCCAGATTCATTATTTATGGTCATTTTAATAGCAATGTTGGCATTCACTTCAGGCTTACTTTACTTGTTTAGTAGCTACATTATATCTCATGTATTTACCTACAACCAAGTTCATCTCAGCAGCAGAGCCTCATTTGCCTATAGACCTATTGTCTTTATAATCTCACACAGATTTTACAACGTATCCTGCTTCATTTGTGTCTGGTAACTACAGCAGCAGTTTGCTAGGATGTTGAAATAGGAAGGTACTCTAAATAGCAAGTTATCTGACTTTATAACTTACTGTGTTTTATTGCCTACTTAGCATCTTGTATCTAGATCCAGCAAAAGACTTGAGCACTCGATGGTGTTAAATTTTCAGCCTATGGAGTGGAATCCATATGCCTGAGTCAGGTGCCTGTTTCTTATACTATACATGAGAGAATAATGCAAAAGTAAATGTTTAATCTGTTTGGTACTTGTCATTAGTAATCAACAGAATGCTGATTACACAGTCTAGCTGGCCAATGGTGTGCTTCACAAGTTGTAGCAGTAGAGGTTAAGAAAGACCTCAGGAGGTAAGCCCAGGCAGCGTCAAGAATGGGTCCTCAGTCTATAACACTCTACCAGTATTACAGCTGAGAGCAGTGCTGGCAGACTTCTTCCTGCTCACGAGGAAAAAATGAGTGGGAGCAGTTGTGTCAGTGGATGTTTCTGGGCCATTTTCTCTTCAATGCAAGCTGGCATTATCTGCACTGATGCTGCTACAATGATCAGTAAAACTCTTCAGCACTACTGAAACAACCCTTTCCTACAGAAGAATTCTGAGGAACTCATAGGAGGAAAGGACAAAGAGGAAACGTGGTTCTCTTTGATTTCCCATAGGGAAATCAACATGTGCAAAGCTTTCTGATAGTTTTTAAATCTTGTAACAAGGGAAAAATACCTTTTTTTTTTTTTTTTTGGCGGTGGTGCTGGCACCTCACAGCAGCTCCACTAGTCAATGCATCCTCATCAGACTGGTATCAATGGGCTTGTAACAACATTAAGGGGGTTCCTTGCAGAAATCCATAGAGAAGCCTGTAGCAATGACCAGTGCTTGTGGGTCGGATGCCTTTGTAATTGTGGGACCAATTCTGTGCAGGTGTCCATGGAAGCATCCTTCTGCATCTAGAAGTTTCTGCCATTCCAGGACTGCAAGGCAGTCATTTCCACACCATCTACACTAGTTAAACTGCTGTGCGTGCACAGGGAGTAATTCTGGAGGAACCCCTCCCCTTCCATCTTCTCAGCGTTAGCATGCCCTTTAGAGGTGCTGCCCAGTACCTGCACCCAAGGCAAGTGTCATTTGCCTGTATTTAGGAGCATAAGGGAACTGGTCACTTGAGAGCCTAAAGCCCTTGCAATATAGCATATGCTATGTGCTGCCTTTCCCTATGCTTTGGGGTAGATCATACCAAATACGAAGTTTACTCTAGGCTTATACCAGTTTTCCTATTGTTTGAATTAATGTGTCACAAAACCCCTTTGAGACAAGATAAAGTTTCATTGCGTATGTTCTAAATCACAGAAGTGCCACAGCTAAACTTTTTGCTTAGAGAGCATTAACAAAAAAGTGGGGGGTTTTCTAATCATTTATAATAGGGCTCGTGTTCAGAATATTATGTTTTATCAAAAAGAGGTTATAATGACAAGCTTATTTAAACTGGAAAAAAAATAAACCAAGCTCTTCATACTTCTCTAATCTTTCCGATGACTGAAAAAATACTAAAATTCCCCACATCAGACGGTTGAGTCAGCCACATACAAATTCATTAAAACGCCAGTCTTTGGGTAAAAGCCACAAAAAGTCAGTAGTAACTAGTTCTTGAGTTAGACACCTCAAACACCTTCAGCAGCAGTGGCCGCTGCATGACATCTGGTGGCCACAAGCCAGCATAGCAAGGACATCGCACGACTGAAATTGCGGCGTGTGCCGTCCCCATCAGGTAAAACCACCTTTTATCAATGTATTTTCGAACGTTAACTGCCGAAATACCCGTTGTAATAAGTCTGCTGCGGTTGTACGCCGTGCCACGGAAGAACCCAGCTTTGACGACTGCTCGTGTGTGACACATACCAGCAAGGCAGCTGTGATGGAGACCTCCCTCGGAATTACGCCGTTCCCTCCTCCCACCTGAAAAGCGCTGTCTGTCCCGCCAGTCCGCTCCCACAGCTGTAGGACACCGAGATGGGGATTTGCAGAGGGACTGAACTGCGGGGGACGTTCCTTAGAAGGCAGAGATGGAATTCGCTGCGTACTTGCGCCCGTCGGGCGGGTACAAACCGATCCAAGGCTGATGCTGCGGTACGTGAGAGACCACGTCCCCGGTGGCAGCGGCTGCTCCTCGCCCTCCTGTGACCATGGTATGAAGTCGCGGTGTATAACACCTCCGACATGAAGAACGGGAAAGGAGAACAGTGGGGTAAGACCTTACGTGGTCAGATTGTGCTCAGTACTACCAGAAAAGCATTTAATCCCACAAGCACGCGATGCTCCCAGCATGAACGTCCACCGGCTCCTGCGCGCGGGCAGAAGCGCCGCCTCCCGGCCCAGCGGCTCCGCGGACGCCTCAGCCCAGAGGCCACACACACACACC